AACTGTGATGATTAGAAAAGAGACTGTTGAAATGGATGAGACACAAGGTCATGAATGAGGGTGGTGGGACCAAGGAAGACGAACATGGGAGTGAGTGGGAGGAAGGATCTGCTGACAGGAGACAGAGAGGGCTCCAAAGGGGGGAGAATCGAGGGCATTTTGTGAGGAAGCAGAGAGAACACGTTGGTCAGAAAGACTTCTGTGCTCTCTGCCTCGCTCAGATCTCAGAGGGAACTCCTAACACTAAAGTTAGAATGTTTTCAGTGACTGGAGAATGTGCTGGTCTAGGAGCACTTTCAGCCAAAGGCTATCCTGGATACTTCTGCGCTCAAGAAGTGTCAATTTCTAGCACAGGGAAGACTCAAGTTTAAAACATATATTTTAGAGGTTAGTAAAAGTGATGGCTCCCAACCCCAATCTATCTGGTCACCTAGTCTAGCCAGGACCATTTTCAACTACCCTCCATATAACCGTTGTTAATAGTTTGATGCAATTTCATTCATATTCTTTCTCTGTCACTCACTCACTCACTCACTCACTCACTCACTCACTCACCTATACCTAAATATAAATATCTCTATATTTATTTTACAAAAGTGGAATTATTCTAAACATTGAAATCTGACACTTGCTTTTCCCCCCAATTAACACACCAGTGATATCTTTCTAGGGCAACACACATAACTATTTCTCATGGGTTTCAGTGGCCAGATTAAAACCCAGTACTCTATCACAGATACTTAGTTGGTTTTCATTCACCACAGAACCTTTGATTCAAAATAGTCAACTGTACTATAGTGCTTTTAATGCAGTTTTCTGGTCTCCCATGACCCATACATACTATATGATGCATGTAGCTTAATTATGCTTTGGAAATTACTTCTAATGAGGCAATAAACTTTCATTAATTGGATTCAATTCTCAAAGCACCAGAAAGCACAGTGGATGGAGCACTGTAGTTGGGAAAAAGCATTTTATAATATTAATGGAGTCCCGCTTCTTGCTTTGATCCAAGGGTCTGCCATCCGGGAGGAATTAAGAATCACAGTGAGCGTTTTTGCCTGGGAAGCACGACCGGAGATCACTAATCCCTGTAGAGTCATGGTAGCTCCAGAAACAAAGACAAACATCTTAACAGGAATCACATGATGAACAATGGGCACCGCACCCCACTGCCAAGCTCCCCCTGTACTCTGGCCCAGCCCAACCGTCAGCTTGGACAGAGCAAAAACAGAAGCTAACTGATAAATAAAAGCTTACACTTCCAGACTAAGATGTAGTGTTGTCATGTTCAGGGTGAACCTTCCATCCCAATGAGAATATCATTCTTGGGACAGGAGATGCTAGAAACAATTGGCAACCTTCCCAGGCTCCCTGAGGAAAACCAACCAAATGAAACCATCTGACTCCATGTTATTTATGGTATCAGCGGTTTTGATGTCCACTATCCGAGAAGGAAATGGAACTAATGGCAGCCAAAAAGTTTTGAGAGAATTCTCTCAAAAACAGGGTTTACTGAACATTCCATTTGTTGAACAGTGGTTACCAAGTGCCTACGTCACTACTGATGCCCTTATTGGTTAATTGTTAGTTTCCCCATTAAAAGGTAAGTTCCAGGAGGGCGAGGACATTGTCCTTACTCATACCTTTTTTTTTTTTTTTAATGTTTATGTTTTGAGAGAGAGAGCATGCGAGGGAGGGACAGAGATAGAGAGAGAAAGAGAGAGAGAATCCCAAGCAGGCTCCATGCTGCCCGTGCAGAGCCCGATGCAGGGCTCAAACCCATGAGCCATGAGATCGTGACCTGAGCCAAAGACGGACGCTTCACCGACCTAGCCACCCAGGTGCCCCTCCTTACTCATATCTTTGCACTTTCTCCTCTCGGGGGAGATAGAGACGTATGATTCCACTCAAATGTGTTCTATAAGAAACAAATGAGCAAAGGAAAATAAAAGAGGCACGCCCCCATTCTTAAATACAGAGAGCAAACTGGGGTTGCCTGAGGGGAGGTGGGGGGAATGGGTGAAATAGATAGACAGGAATAAGAGGTAAAAACTTCCAGTGACAAAATGAATAAATCACAGAGATGAAAAGTACAGCATAGGGAATACAGCCAATAAGATTGTAATAACGTCGTGTGGTGACAGATGGTCACTATACTTATCACAGTGAGCATTAAATAATACATAGAATTGTTGAAGCATTATGTGTACACACGAAAGTAATATAACACAGCATGTTAATTATACTTTAATAAAAGAGTATAAACGCAAAAAAAAATACACAATAGATTTTAATCACTACTGCACTAAATTTTACAAAGAAGAATCAGCTTGATGGGGTCAGGGAGAGCTTCCAGAAGGAGGCAAGGATTGAGCTAAAGTCTGAAAGATACACAAGAGAGGAGGGGGCAAAGGAGTTTCTAGGTAGAGGGAGGAGCCAAGGCCCTGGGACGGCTGGGCCCAGAGCACTGGAGAGAGAATGAAGGCAAAGACAGCTTGCAGCCCAGGGAGTAAGGCTGGTGAAGGGCATCAAGGGAGGTTGGGGACACAGACAGGAAACAGATGGCACAAAACCCTACGGGCCCAGGAGTCTGGTGTCGATCTTCAGTGCACTGCATAGCCATTGAAGGCTTTTAACCATGACTCTGGCTATGAGATCTTCTAAGACGTGAGCAGATTGGAAGAAGATAAAGTAGATGTGGGGAGAACAATTAGGAGGCTGCTGAAGCGGCTTATGCAAGAGATAGCATTAGTCTGGGCCAGCACGATAAAAGTTGGAGAGAAACAGTAGGATCTGTTTAGGAAAGAAAATCAGTAGGACTTATTGATTAAGTGCAGGGGATAAGGAAAGACCGCATGTAGCGTAACTACCTGATTTCTGGATGATGCAGCGGCTGGAGCAGCTATTCACTGATGAGGACCAAGGTCGGTAAGAAAAATCTTACCATGGAGGGTGCATGGACAGTTGCAGGAAACTGAAATGAACATCCACGAGCATTGTGTACTGTGCCAAGCTGGGTCAACGCTATGCCTCCGCCGGACTATCTAACTCAATCCTAACTGCAATCCTATAGAACAGGTGCTATTGCCCCCAATTTTAGAGACGAGAAGACAGAGACTCAGAAAAGCTTAATAACTATTAAGACCATCCTCAGAGCTAAACACTGGCAGAGCGGGGGTTTGAATCCCACCCTCTTCAGTTCTAAAGCAGATGGTTCTTCATGACCAGACCATACTGCTTCAAGACGACGAATGCCCGCCTCCGCGGGGAAAATCCCATGATTTCTAAAGCCCCTGATAGTTCATCTGGAACTCTGAAGCCAAATCTTCTTAGGGAACCTTCAGCCCCCCTCTCAGGGCCACTCCGAGTCAATTTTCCACACTAGGAAGATGATTCTATATGTCTCCCCAATCTACACTCCCTACTCAGCTCATTTTCTTCCCCTTGCTTTTACCCAAAACTCAAGGTTACCTCCCGGTGCCACGATCACCTCAGCTCTGCCCCCTCCAAGTCCATATGATACTTTCAGTCTCAGCACTCGATTTGGCAATGACCCCATGTGGGCTACCCCTCAAGACTTCCGTGTATTTTCTACCCCCTTATATTTTATTTCTTCTCATGTGAACTTTCATACAGTATATAGTGACTGGCTTAAAGTGTTTCATGTACTGAAGTCGGACTGCTGCGAACAAGCAGATGAACACAAGTTTCAAACCATGACATGCTTTGGGTCTGCTCGTCAACCAACAGTTCAGTTTTACCAATGTCGCTATCTGTAGTGACAGAGTCTCATTAGACGTGCATTTAATTTAAGCACATTCGACTCTATGTTCCTGGTACAGCAAGAGAGAGAAAGAATTCGCACAATTTAAATAGAGCAGGCCATTACACCTGCCATTCCACTCAATAAGCACCATCCCATGGGACAGGAGATGAATCCACTGTTCCCGCAGCTGGTTTCAGGCCCTCAGGACCTTCCCCAGTGTCAGAAATTCTCTGGACAGACTCTTACTTGAGTGTTTAAAGACATATTTTAGACACATCACAATCTCTAATTTTAGTCAAATGCTTTTCCTGTCCCCCAGTTAAAGAAACAGTGACCTATCTCTAGACTGGAAAAATGACTGGGTCTGTTGGACTCCTCCGAAGACAGGAAAGGCTTGTCCCATAGGAATTCTGGTGACATATTACTGGCATGTGTTATCAGAATTTGGGAACTAACCCTACGATACGAGTACTGTGATGGCGGTTTGTGATCCTGTAATCGTCTGACCTTTAGACTGCATTCTGCTTTTATGACTGAATACAAACGGGCAGGAATTGGAAAATAAAAAGTCCAAATACCACTGATTAACGTACATCTCAAATAAATAAGGCCACGATGGAAATCGTCAGGCCTCCTGAAGTCAAATGTGAAGCAAAAGAATAAAATTATGCAAAGGAATTAAATGCTAGCCGTGCATCCCCCAAACAAATCATTACTGGGGATTTTAAAATCATCTTTACCTTTCTGGAAAAGATTCTCCACAGTTGCATGCACATACCTAAATATGCGTATAAAATTCTGACGCGGACACATTTTGGGAGAGGAGGTCATGTCGGAACATCAAACTATCCTTCTGAACCACCCTAGCTGCCTATTGGGAAAGGCATATTAATTCTTGCTCCCTCAGAGTTTGTTCGTGCCATCAGTATAAATTTAGAGCTCTACCGTAAACTGATTGCCAATACTTGTCACTCTCTAGATCGTGAACTTCCTACAGGCCGGTTCTAAGCCTTAATAACCTCTGTGTCTGCAGGACCTTAGGGAGGGCCTGACTAAAAGGGAGCCCTCTGCAAAGACTGGAGAGTGGGGGAATCCGTGAGTACCCAGAATTTATCTCTCTGAGATTCATCACTTCTGATGAATTAGGGAAAGGAAGAAAGGCGTGGTCCCATAGCCAATCAGGTCCTTGTCCCCAGCACGGAGCTCTGCTGTCACACTGCTCTGTCCTCACCTGTCCAGAGAAATGCAGCACAGGTGAAAAATCGACACCGTCGTGAGCAGGACGTCTAGCGATGTCCGGACCAGGCAAAACATCTCCCCATAAATCCAGATGTCCTGAACCAGCTCGATGGCACCAAAGGGCATCACCAGCACCGAGACCAGCAGATCCGCAAAGGCGAGGGATACGATGAAATAATTGGTCTTTATCTTCCTGTGAGAAGAATGTATAAGGAAGAAGGCAGGGGAGAGACAAAGGAAAAGGTGAGAGAAAGGGGCAGGACAGAAGAAAAGAGGAGAGGGAAACAAAGAAAGAAGGGAGAGAGACAGAGGAAAGAAAAGTCAGACATGCAATGAATTCTGTGAAATTCCCTTCCCCCCTCTGTCATGCAGCGTGTGTGGTCCAGCCATCCCTGACCTCTCGCACCCAAATCCTTCTCATCTTCTTCCCTGCGGCCACACTGGCCTGATTTGAGCCCTGGTGCATGAAGCATGGCCTCTACACAGGCTTCTCTCTCTCCCCACCCGCCCTTCCCTTCAGGCCTTGTTTGGTTATTCTCTGGGAACCCTCCCAAGGCACCCTCCTCAAAAATGGTGTCAAATTCCACTGTATTCCACACTTAGACTGACTGCTGTGTGCCTCACATTTGTGACATGGGCCAGAACCACGCTTTTACATTTCCTTTGCATTGTAAGTGGATTAGTGCATGCCTTGCTTAGAGAGGAAGGCCGTAGGTGAGCCAGGATTGTATCTTTTATCCCATTTTATGGCCTGGTGGCTCTCGATCCAGGCTCAACACCAGAATCACCGGGTGAGTTTTTATAAATATTGATGCCCAGGTCTCTCCCCAGATCAATTAGTTCAGAGACTTTGGGTGGTTAAACCCTCCCCCACCCCCACAAGGATTGTCAGATAAAATATGACCTCCGAGTTATAAAATAGGCCTCCGAGTTAAATGTCAATTTCAGGTAAACAATGAATAACTATTTACTATAAGTATGTTCCAGACACTGCATGGGACATACTTATGCTACACACTAGCAATTTTCAAAAGGTCTTCAGGTGACTTTAACTGCAGCTGGGTTGAGACTGATGAAGTGGAAAAAGCAGAAGATACAGGTCTAAATCCAGATCAGTCACTGAGCACCCACCCCTCTCTGAACCACTGATAAAGTGGGGAGGTTAGACTAGATATGCTCTCAACAATTGTACATTTATAGTGATCACAACTGTTACCAAACACCTCCCCCCCAACCCCTCCCAAAGCTGAACACGGGAAAAAAAGACGGGACGGAGATCCACGTAAGTGCTTACACCGGCTATGTCATCATGGGGAAAATCACGTGTGATCTCTTCCCTGCTCTGTTTTACCAACATCACTTCCCTCTCATAATTTGAATTGTAATGGGAATCATAGTTCAGACCCCAGCTCTCCAGGGAGAGCCTCGAACTCCACCCCGGTTTCCTCCTGCTACTCACCTGAGCTGCCTGTCCCTGCACACAGCCACCATCACCAGCAGGTTCCCCAGGATGGCCATCAGGATAACCGCCGAGAGAAACGTGAGCAGCACAACCTTCTCCACCGACCCAAAACCCTCCTTGGAACTGGAAGACACGCGCGCACACACACACATACACACACACACACACACACACACACACAGAATTGAAGGAAACTCTGAGACACAAGGAAGAAAATTAATTTTTCCTCACTTATCTTCAGGAAGGTAGCTTCACCATCAGCAGCCGTAATCCACATTTACTATATACACTTGGTATATGCCAATGTCTGTACTCGTCACTTTACATATTATCCTACTTAACCTCCTACATAATGAGGAGGCGGCAGCTCAGAGAGGTGAAGTTACTACCCTGCCATTACGCAGTTACTCTCTGCCAGAGAGCTTGTGACGTTCCTTCAGAGCACTTACCTCACTCAGCCTGTGCTCAGAAGCCTTATTTGGTTGATTCCTGTCGAGCGCACCTCCCCAGCCAGGAGGTAAGCTCCAGCAGGCAGAGAGCCTGCCTGTTTTATCCACCGATCAGTTCAATCTCAGCGCATCACTCACCGTTGTTGGATGAAGGAAAGTTGGTGTTGGATGAATGAATGACGGTAAGTGGAAGCAGGGTCTGCATGAATACGAGGCCACCCTGTCTCCAGGACCCCACCCCTGCCCATGCAGAAGCTGCCCTGTAGAAGTGGGCTATTGCGGGGAGAGGTCATGGCTTGAAGGCTGTTCTAGCAAAAAGTGGACCTGAATAAACTGATCTCAGATTCTGTGAGCTCCACTGGAAAGATAACAGCCAATCAATAGGCTCAGGGACTCCTTTCAACTGCCCTGAATTACATTTCTTTTGGTGCCCGATTGAATAGCTCACATTTGTGTTCTTGTCAATTCCAGCATCTGAATTGGTCCTGTGAACCCTGCCCTCCTATCGTAAACTCGGCATTTTGTTTTATTAACTTGGAAGCAAGTGTCTTCATCAATAAAAGCATAACATCCATAGGTTATTACAAAGCTACAGAAAAAAGGTTTCCGCTTTTAATAGAGTAGCAATAAAATTTTCTCTTTTAATCACGTTTCAAAGGGTCTCAAAACTCTCAGTGCCAAACCCTACATTTCAACACGGAGAAACTGAGGCCCAGAGTGGAGAACTGAATTGTCAAAGTATATTAGTGTCTGGCCTAGGAGAGGCTGCTTGTCCTGTGAGCCTGGAAACACAGGGTCCCAAGCAGCAAGAAACGGCTGTCTTGACTGAGCTACTCTGACCGAAAACCAAGATGGCTGTTGGCCCCAGATGGCAACAACCCACCAGATCCTAACTCTGGCCTCATCCCCAAATTGTCTTCCATTAGGCCTGGCATGGAAGACTAGGTGCCAGCTGGAATAAGGAACCAGTATTATAGTGGCTGAAGAGCCAGCAAGCTCCTTCACTCTGCTGACAAGTGTTTGTGTTGACTGATTGAAGTCATCGTGGCTAAGGTTCGTAAAAAGAAATTCAAGTTATGTTCATCTAAACCACCCTTCCACATCCAAATTCCAACTATCGACAGGTTACGAGTATTGAACGGGGGAGATGTGATTCAGGAGGAAAAAGACTTCCACAGGGTAATATGGCTACCCCAAGCTGATCTGATCTCAGGCCATGTTACGGCAAGTAAAGTGTCCAACAAAGGAGGTGAGAGTGGGATTTCCCCTTGCTCTTCTCAGAGGCTCTGACTGAGAGCCCTTCGGAAACATGTTCTCCCCGCACAGCCTCTGCCCTTGCTCTCTGCCTTCCTCCTGGAACGCTTCTTCGGGGCTGGCTTCTTCTTGTCACTCACATCTCAGATTCAAGTGAGGCCCTGTTTAATGTGCCACAACCAACAAACATTTTGCAGTTTCTGTGAACCACTTGTTATCCGAAATGACTTCTGTTGTTGATCCCTGTGGCCCATCCTCACACAATGACTTTGTTTCGTTTTTTTCACTGCAACTCCCAGATCCTACCTAGCACAGCGTCTGATCTAGAATATGTGCGTACAGGTATGTGTAGTACATAGGAAGTGCTCAGTTATGTTAAGCTAAGTGAAAGAAAAAAACATACTGCATTCATAACGGTGAGGTTTAGGCTTCAACATCTTTGAAGACTGATTGAAGGTACAAAGAAGATTTTGCCTAGAGAAGAAAAGACCCAGAGATAAGACACAAAAGCTATTTTTAACTATCTTGAAGCACTGCCATCTGAAATGAGAGTAGATTCACGCATTCATTCATTCAACAGCATTTTCTGAGCACCTACTCTGCATTAGGCATTGTTGTATGTCTTGCGGAAGCAGATAAGCCAAACAGAGAACAGACGATGAATAGCTAAACAAGAAAATATGTAAAGTGTCAGGCTCTAATTCATGCTATGGCAAAAAAAAAAAAAAAAAAAAAAAAAAAATCTAGGAGGGACAGGAGGACAGGACTGCCAGAGGGGGTGAAGGGCTGGCTATATAATAAGGGTTGTCACAGAATGCTCTGTGATAGGGTTGTCACACTTTCTGCCCTGCAGGCTTGTGGAATCAAGTGGGACCAGTGATCGGGTTGTAAGCAGTGGTTCTCAACTTTAGTTACATACTGAAATCACCTAAGGAGCTTTAAAAAGTGCTGATGCATGGACTCCAATCTCGAAGACACGGATTTAACTGGTCTGGGCTTTGTGGCCTAAATATTGGAATTTTTAAAAGCTCTCAAGGGATTCAGATGTGCAACCAAGGTTGGGAATCACTGCCAAGAGAAAGGTAGCATTTAGTAACGGGTAGGAGAACTTCCTAACAACTAAGAATGATCCTCAACAGCTTCCTGGTGTTGTTTTGAACTCCTTGGCTCAGGAAATGTTTAAGAATACTTAGACGTCAATAAAATACCACTTCGGGGCCCCTGGGTGGCACAGTCGGTTAAGCGTCCGACTTCAGCCAGGTCAAGATCTCGCGGTCCGTGAGTTCGAGCCCCGCGTCGGACTCTGGGCTGATGGCTCGGAGCCTGGAGCCTGTTTCCGATGCTGTGTCTCCCTCTCTCTCCGCCCCTCCCCCGTTCATGCTCTGTCTCTCTCTGTCCCAAAAATAAAAAATAAATAAATAAATAAATAAATAAATAAATAAAAACGTTGAAAAAAATAAAATACCACTTCACACCTGTTAAGATGGCTATTATAAAATAAAACAAAACTGAAAAATAACACGTGTCGATAACCACGTGGAGACATCGGAAGGAACCCTTGCGCATCCTGGCGGAACTGTAAAACAGTGCCTTCACTGTGGAAAGCAGTGTCCCAAAATAAATTTTCTCCGAAGTTTCTCAAAAGGCTAAACATAGAATGACCAGGGGAGTCAGTAATTCTACTCCCAGGTATATACCCCCAAAGAATTGAAAGCAGGGACATAAATACTTTTCTACCTATGTTTACAGCAACATTATTCACAGTAGTAAAAAGGTAGAAATGACCCAAGTGTCCATCAACAGATAAATGGATTAACAAAATGTGGTATATACATACTACGGAATACTAATCAGCCATGAAAAGAAATGAAGGTCTGAAACATGTTACAATGGACATAAACCTTGAAAACATTATACTTAGTGAAATATGAAATAATTCCGACAGAAAGACAAATATTGTATGATTCCGCTTATAAGAAGAGCCTAGAAGAGACAAATTCATAGAGACAGAACACAACAGTGGTTACCAGGGACACGAAGGAGCAAGGAATGAGAAGTACGGAGTTGCTGTTAGGAAGAGGAAAAAATTCTAGAAATGGAGAGTGGTGATGGTTGTGCACCATCGTGAATGTACTTACTGTCACTGGGTTATACATTTAAAATGGTTATTTTATATATTAATGGCAAATTTTAGGTTATGCACACTTTATCGCAATAAAGAAAGTTTATGTGGATGACCACAGAGAGGATACCGAATCGGGCTCCTGCGTTGGAGGCAGGTTGGTCTGGCTGATTTTCGATCACTCTCTTATCTATGGACAGTGACCTGAACATATTCTTAGAACACGGATTCTCCATCAACCACATCCTTGTCATTAGAGCCATCTCCTCTATACTGCCTTTCCTCTTATAGGAGAAAAGACCAGATTCAGGGTATGTGGTGAATACATACCTCTGGCACCAGAGGATGTACATTTCAAATCAAATGGGAATATCAGGGTCAGAGATTCCCAAGTCAACGTTATGGTTCACTTGTGGCACACCAATTAGGAGCCAGAAATAACTAAGCTTTAAACTCAACTTTGAATGACAAGCAAAATTTAACAATGGAAGGAGCTTTTCCAATTAAACAGAACTGTCCACTGAACTAAATGTAAGTCCAGTGATAATTAAGATAAATCAGGAACCACCTCAGCAAAATCCACGTTAGATCGTTGGGTTACCTTGGACTTGCTCCAACCACTCCCTGTCAACCACTACTAGGTACTTCTCATCGGGCCAAAGAGCAGTCCACTCCACTAAACTGGTTCTTTGACACTTATTCTTGTGATAAATTTTGCTTTCTCTTCTCTTTTGCTTCTTTCAGTGATCTCTTGATCTATTGATAAAGAAACACCACACACTTGCTGGCTCTGTGTACCATTTTCTCAGCTCTTGATAAAAGAAAACCTGGGTCAGTAATTCTGGGCAAATTTTCCACATAGGTCAGTGTATGTGAAAAAGGATGATAAATGCTAAAGTAAAATATCAGTAAGTAATCATTGTGAGTTATTAGTATCAGAAGCCTGCAGAGGGACAATAGCCTAAGGAAATTTTAGGTTTGTTTGTCACATCACCGAGAACAGTTGGTTTCAAGGTTTCTCACACACACACACACACACACACACA